TACAAACCCATACATAAATCCATATAAATGCTAAATCATACATATACAATAAAAACATAATCAAATCATAATTGGCATACCATGACAATTAGTCGTCATTCAGGTGTATTGAAGGAACGGAGGTCAAGTTCCAAATAGCTAGAAAGTAAAATATAAAGCAGTAGCAGAAATTGTAGAAATGTGTAAATGTGTGAATTATCAAGTAATACTTAACCCTCAAACACCCGAACGGGGTCCAATTAGACCTCAGGCGTATTTTTTTATGTGCTATTTAAAAATTTTTTATTCTAAAAAAATTACTCCCGTGACTTTGTCAATAAGTCTCTTCTTCAAGTTCTCCTACTTTTTTTGGAGATCGACACACATTTGTAAAAATAACAACGAAAGTCTGATGTAAGACCGCCTGGGGTCCAAACGGACGAAATCGTTCGGATGTCCTCAATATGTCTTCAAGGAAGCATTACTTTAATATTATGCAGTTTGCCAAGTAACCTCCACCTCAGGAATTATTTCATCAGGTTTTCAGCGGTCATTAGCTTTGAGAATCATATTAGGTTAAAGGTCAACCTCATGTTCATGCCTACAAGCCTCATCCTATGTTTTGCATACATCATGATAATGAGCTGGAATTTTTTTACACTTAATCATGCCATAATATACCTCTTACTATGTTTGACCAATATATGTGCAAAGATCACTGAAAGAATGCAAATGCAAAAGGGAATATAAATTTGAAAGAAACCAAATGGGGTCCATTTTTGGTCATTTCGGTCGCAAAAAAGGTCGGATGTTTGAGGGTTAAAGTACGTGACATGAGAATGATATAATATTAGACAGATATAGAGAGGGAGAGACTTAAGAAACCCTTTCAACCAATAAAATCTGGGTTTAATAAACACTATATTGACTTACATGAAACTGTCACCGCTGAAGCTACTAGACTTATCCCTACAGCTTGCATCTTCTGAAAATCAGAACATCGTATTTAAAACTTCTTTCCATGATCCACCTCGACCGTTTACTTTTACATGTACAAACAGCTATTCTAAGATCAAGATGTACCAGACTGTTAAACTTGGGGCAATGTTTCAAAATTCTTTTCAATGGCATTATGCCGTTCGTATGGTACTGATATGGTACACATCATCATCATCAATGATGATGATGATGATGATGGTACTGAAACATGGTATAGAAAACACAGAACATTATACATAAACATAAACACTACACTACATCCTAATTATTTATGACATAATTGATATGTATTTTCATGTCTACTTTTTAGATTAAGGGAGTTTAAGTATATCACTTAATTCTTGATTTGATTTTTGAACCACGAAAACTATATCTTATACAAAAGCATTTAACGTTGTTATATGGGTTTGTTTAGCGCCAACCATAAATACCAGAAATGTGAGATAATTGCACAAATATGCTGAAAATTTAACGTTTAAAAGTAAATTACTACCACACGATGGGTTTCTTTTTTGTTTAAATTAAATATTTCAATTTTTGTTCAAATATGTGACATAATGCCCGTACAATATGATTCCCATACCTGCTGCTGCTGTTGTAGCCTGTATGGTTGTCGGTGTTGTTGTAGTCAAAGGAGGCGTGGTTAAAGTTGCATTTGTGCTGTTGGCTTGTGACGTTGAGTTGTTGGCTACTGTTGTAGTGGCATTTAAGGTGTTAGGTTGGGATGTTGTAGTCGCTGCAAGGAGAAAATTAACAAATGATGATATATAAAAATACGAATAAAACTGACGGTTATACAATAATTTTAAGCTAGCAGTAAATTTGGTTCCGTTTTTGTGGTTTATTTAGAAATCCGTAGTTGTATCAGTGCGAATTATAGCTAGAGCAGACGAACAAACAAATAAACCAAACGGGAAAATACTGGAGATTAAAGAAAACTTTGCTAATGTATAGCTGTTTTAATTTCTATATCCTCCAACCAAATCTATATGCATTTGTTCACTATAAGGAATGGTTACTGAAATTTGAACAGCAGGCGCATCTATTAAATTTTCTTAACAAGATTATAATATTATTGTATCCTTCAATCAGTACTAGACATTGCTACAGATATTACTAAGTGCCAGTGTAGTAGTGTATACAGTAGGTCAAGATCAAATATTAGAGACAATCCCTACATCACTACGAAAAAACCTTGGGTACAAAATATAAATAGGAATCACAAACTGGCAGCAACACATTAACTTCCTTTCTGATGACGTATAGCCGAACACCAGCCAACTTGTAATGAACCTCCCGACCGACCCCTCGAATGTTTTTAACAGTTTGAAAAATTCGGCTGTGGCGGCCGAATAGCATTTTCCCGAGGCAGAGGTGCTTCCGTAGCGTATATAGCCTTACGCAAGCAAGGCTGCGGAAGCACCTCTGTCTCGGGAGAATGCCGAATTGTGGCCGACCTCGCCGAACACTAGCAGACCCATGGCCAGCCGATTTACGCCGACCTGCTCTTACACCATGGGTGGTGAGCGTTCGGCTGGTGTTCGGGAGGCCATATCCGTGAATGCGTGAAACGGGCTTTACATGTACCTGCTGCACCTCCATCATCCACGAATACTTCTTCCCGGTTGCCATCTCCGGAGCCGCCATCGTTGCTGGCCGATGCTGCTGTTGTGGCAGCTGCATCCCCTGCAAACCAACATGCAACATTTAGGTTACACTCTGCCAATTAGGTACATACGCATAGATGACACATAGAAAAATATACCACTAAGGGAAAAATAAGGTATTTCCCAAGTAATATATATCAATTTGTAATGCATATCAATCCCAACTAATTCATATCAATTCATAACTCATATCAATCTTACTAGTACTGCCTCATTGTGTGGGTCTGTCAGTGTTATAGGCAAGTCCCTTGGAATGTACTGTTGTGACATACCGCATGGGGGCGCGATTACAGGTGGACACTAGACGATGTGTCATATAAAAATGACCCCTAATCTCCAAGCAGATCTTTCGGTGGGGGAAGACAATATCAAATTGGCCAGTCTGTAACGTTAACCATCGGTGGGGAAATGATTACATGACCCCGGTAGTACTTGGGGATTTCCAATATACCTGAGACAAGGCCAAGGGTCGGGAGGGGTTTGGTCGTGATGTGGGAGACTAAACCTAACCTAATCCCAATCGTAAGTCTAACCCTAACCCTGAACAATGATCCCAAATCCAACCCTAATCCTAACTATAATATCAACCCTAACTCTTACTCTAGCCCTAAACACCTGACCTCTCACGTATGTGGCAGCTAGAGGATGTGGCTCAACACCGGCCGCATTCCTCGCGAAGGCGTCAAATGACCGAGTGGCTACATCAGTGGACACGGGATCGAGAGGTCGCGGGTTCGATTCCATTATAGAGTATTTGTCCTTGGGAAAGACAGTCAGTGACACCAAGGACATTACACAGGACTTGGTGACACAGATTTCCTTAATGTTGTTACTTTAGGTGTAAAATGGTTACCTGTCTTCGGTTGGAGAGGTAAAAGGCAGTGGCAAAAGGTTGAGCTTAATTTGCTTTAATGTAATGCGCCTGATTCCGATTGTCCCCTAACTTAGGCCTAAGGTTGTGGCGCGTGCTCGACTCGGAACGAAGGTCCCGGGTTTGAGTCCTGACATGTGTGCCCTTGGGAAAGGTACTTTGGACAAATTTCCTTACTTAACTCAGGTGTAATGAGGATTGCCCTGTTCCGTATTTGTCCTCTATCTTCGTTAACGTTGGTGGCGGCATAGAATAAGTTGATATCTTGAGTGTGTCGTCACCATGTCTAGTCGTCAAATATTGGTATTAAAAATTGTCTCCTTTTTTTTAAAATATTCTGACATGTAATTACAAGGAAGTTTCTGAAATGAGGCCACCGTCACAGAAGACAATACAACAACGGTGGCATGCATGGCAGAGTTCGAACTACCCTGGGCGCAAGCCAAGTTTACGGGCCGCTAACCGTTTGCTTCGGCAGTCAGAAGCCCTTCGCCCGCATGAATTACCGCTGCGATGGAATTGAGCCAGTGGGGAGGTTTCGGCCCAGCCAAACTCCCCCCGGGCTAGACTCCCCCGTAACGGTAATTTACACCAGCGGGCGAAGGACTCTTGCGGCCAGGAAAACGAGTTTGGCTTCCAGGCCTAGGGTAAGTTCGAACCCGGGGCCTCTAGTTTCCAAGACGAACACTCTACTGCTACGCCACACGACTCCACATCTCCTGGTCTGTTTAGATTTGCGCGATAAGTCGCTGTGAGAACAACAATCCCCGCTGCCCTGACGACAATTCTCGGCTCGCTGGTGATGTGTACGTCAGCACTACAGATGAAAGCGTCCGGGCACTGTTTATGGAAAGTTATACGTTCATGTATGTCTTCTTTCAGCGTGTATGTCACTGTTGTAAGAAAGGGACGCATGCCCCCTTTTCAAACCCACGTCACCGTGCGCCCGTCTCCATTACACCACACTTGAAGCTGTGCAAACATCGTGTATTGGAACTCGGTCAGCCAAACGAAAAAAAAAAATCGTCCGCAGCTTTTTAGCCACTCAACCAAAAACTCTCATCGTTCAAAGCATTTTAGCTCTGTTGATAGTTCTGCCTCAATGGTATTTTGTACTTTTTTGTTGTAACATGCATATATACAATTACATGTTAGGATTGAAAGTTTTGGAACAATGTTCTTGGGGTGGGGTAAGGGTTGGTTGGGTGTTGTGCAATTTTTCAACTGTCAATCTTGGGGTGCGAACGCCACACGGTCCCAAACTAACGACATTTTCGGAATAGCTGTGGATGTGTCCTGAAAATGTTTAATGGAGCCGTTTTATTGAGAAAAAAGTCTGTCTTAGATACTTTAATATCAGCGGTTTGTTCTTTCACAGACTACTTGAAAATCTTGCGGAATCAAAACGACGACCTAGAAGGAATGTAGCCACGCTGATATGAGAGATTCAATGTTTCGTTCTTAGATATGATTCTTTATGTCATGGGCCGCGATTACGTTCGATACAGGTGTTCCGGCCTAGTCTCTACCAGACTAACTACGCTGGCTATATATAGGAGAATATTTGCCAGGGGAGTTTGGCTGCCTTGGGGTTTGACTATGCCGCGCGACCGGACTCCCTTGGCCCATTTGATTTGATTATCTTTTTTTGCCGAATTCTACGATCCGTATTCCCGTAGAAAGGCCTGGTGGAGGCTAGTTCCGGCCTGTGTGATAACGAGCGGTACGGCCCGGGGTTCTCTTTTACTATCACACGGGCTTCCAAAAGTTCCATAGAATAATACGAACGCGTTTTGCGCGCACCATGTGATCCGCTTTCCAAACGTTAACTTCAAACACCGAATTCGGAGATTGGAATTGGCGCCGTTACACTTTTTTTGTTTAGATACACCAAATTTGGGCACATTTTGCATTGAGATGTCTGTGTTCTCTGTGGGTATGACATACTAGCAGATAAAATACAACACGGTGTATTCCGCATCACCCTCGGTCCCAGCCCTTCCGCGGATCGGATCGCCCTCCGGCCTTAAGGCGATCCGACCCGCGGTCGAGCTGGTACCTATATATACTATTACTAACCTTGTGGTGCCTTTGTCTGTGCAGTAGCCTCCGATGTTAGATGAACAAGCACCAGGAAGATAGCCGCGGTGTATCGGAACACCACCATCTTCCAAAGTGTGCTGTACAAGAAGTGGTGCCCGTCAAAGTCCCGCAGTGCGGTAAAAGTGACACCCAAAACCCGACTGACTCTACACTCCAGCAAACTCACACGTCGCGTGCAGACTATATGATGACTGATGACGAAATGAAAATCCTAGTCAAACAAAGCTAAAAGGTCTGCGTGTTCGACGCCGCAATCCTGTCTACGCCGGGTAAAACTGGTTGATCTTTTTTCTCTCTGTTTGTACATTTGTTGCTACAACAACCATCTTTCCTAGGACGCGCATGACTGTGTTCTAATGCAGCACTTAGTTAACGTCATTGCCATGTAAATATCTTCTGCAGTCAGGGCTTCAAAGGGGGTAGAGGGTGAAGTTTCATGGCTAATTTTTAACTGTATTCGTCTCATGTCTAGCGAAGCGTTTTGGGCGTATCCGATGTTGTAAATGACGTCAGAGGAACCATGGTTTTGAACTAGCCTGATGGCATGCTGTCGGAAGTGACATCTGATCTGAGATGTAACATTCCTCAAAGTTTGACCTACCTTATATCATTCTTAGTTGAGCTAAGTTGTACCGAAGAAAAAAAAGAGTTTGCTATATGCATCATGATGAGACCTGACCCGAAGTCTCTCTCTCTTTCTCCCTCTCTTCTTTCTCTCCCGCCCTCCCTCTCTCCCTTCCCCTCTCTATCTTCCCCCTTCCCTCTCTCTTCCCGTGTATTATCTCCTCTATCTCTCCCTCTTTCTTCCTCACCTGGCCTATAACGTTACATCTTCTTCTTCTTCTTTTTTAATATGCAATTGCAAATTCTACAGCCTTGAATATGCAATTGCAAATTCTACAGCCTTTACAGTGAATAATTTCCTGTATTCACTGTTTTACCTGTCTGAAAGTTGCGTTTGTTTTTTCTTTATTATATGTATTTATTTCAGTGGTGCCGTCAACATAAGTGCTTTCCACTTGAGTGCGGCACCAACATTGTACCTTTTTCTATGTGAATGAATAACAAAAAATTCTACAGCCTTCCTCTACAAAGGTCTCATTCCCACAAGGATAAAATTGTCCTGATCGAGCCGAATTGATTCGCTTTGATCCGGCTTCGAGCAAGAACGAGCCGGATCACTCGAAGCGAATCAATTGGGCTCGATCTGGAATGGGGCTAAAGGCTAGGGCGATCACGTAATAAGTTGTGATTCATAATGATCAAATTCAAACCGTCTAGTCAAGTTCTTTTTCATTTTCCCTCGCAGTTCGATATGCAGTCGAGATTGAACCATGGAGGTATAAAAGATATAGAACCGATCATGGAGGTAGAATTCTCCCTCCATGACCAGAGCTAAACTGAGCGGTGGTGCGAATCGTCTAGCGAATCGCCTAGTGGCGAATCCCCTGCTGTGTTTTGCTTACATCACCCCTTTCAAACGGGCTTTGTCACAAGGTTTGTGATTGGCGAAGCCGGTTGATTATGACCAATCACCGAGCTCGTCACATCTTCCGCATTCGGGTGACCTTCCTCCATTTTTCTGTGTCCGAAATCGCCGGTGTTCGTCAACTTCAGGTCGTTTTACGGGCGATTTTAAACCAGGTACATCCAGTTTGCTGGATATATATTGCGTATAACATAGACTAGAAATGGCATAGCTAAATGAATCGTGAATTGGTGTTCTGTTAGGTTCACAAATATAACGTAACTCGAATTTGTTGTATGGGGGAGGGGGGCGAATAAAAAAATCGTGCCAAACTACTACTAGTACTAGTAAGTCGATCGTAAATCACATCATATTAAAGCAAGATTCGACCAACTTGAGCCATACACTATGTGTTGCTATGCAAAATATAAACCTACAGCTATCACAGTACAGTAAATGTGGAGACAGTTTTTTTTTTTTAATTCCAAAAATACCACATAGCAAAAAGGTGTGAACGCGTCCTTTGCAGAAGGTCATAAGTTTTACAGCTCCCAGAGTGATATGTAGTAGTAGAAAAGCTGGTGATAGAAATATTGATATAATAGCTACAGTGAGAAAACTCAGGTTGTACTCTTTGACAAACTGTTATGTATCTACCTTCAGTATGGTACATAATGATAATGATCATCAACCCATACACTGCTAAACCATACACTGTTTAATTATGAAACTGCAGAAAATCAAGGAAAATGTATTCACATTGACTCAAGTATATAGAGAAAATGGCTACTACTACTAGTAGTAGGTATAACAAGTTGTTCAGTGTAATGTAGCCGCCACCGTGCTGTGTGCCGGCACTGCCTGTGAAGCTGGTGTGTTACGCCAAAGGGCAGTTATACTAGCTATACAGATACAGATGGTTTGAGTGATGAAACATTGTACAATTAGCTTCCAACATTGTCATTTAAAATATAGGTGTCCTCATGCGAGTGTTACGTTGTCGAACTGTAAGTTAGATCACTCGAGATTACACCAAAGTTCAAAAGAAAGAAAATAAGATACTAGTAATCCCTATTCCCTAACTACCAACCCTAATCTTTCAGGACTGAAACAGGAAACACAACATTTTTAGAATTCCCTATATGAAACCTTGCTATAAATTATAAACATTTTTTTTTTGTTCTTTTTTTTTTCAGGTCAGTGAATAAGATGGCAGGAGCCGGGGGTCCAGAGCCAGTGTTTACTGGCATGAAGCACTACTTCAACTCCTACACTATATTTGGCAGGAGAAATGTAAGTCATACATCACTCACAGTCACATAACAGCTCTCTTCAGTTTTCTCATCTAGCTTCTGTCATGACTGTCATTTTGTGTTGGTGGTAACATAATAAAAGAACTTTTGTTCCAACACAAAGAGAGAATTGTTCTCACCTAGAGCTTTCGCTGGTCTTCCTCAATAGACTGATCCAGTGAGACTTCAGTAATCAGTAGATGCAGTAACGTTTCTTCTCTGAAGTGTGACGTCAACACTGGGTCAAAGGTACCTTATGTAAACGATGTTGGCCCCTTTCAGAGAAGCCATGTGATAAGTCTCACTGGGTCAGTCAACTGAGGAAGACCAGAGTGACTGGTCAAAAGCTCTATGTGAAAATAGTACAGATATTATCATAAAACAGTTGTGGCTGTAGTGTATGTAAATTAACGAGTTACCTACACCAACTTATAAGTATGTATGAGAAGATTGTATCAAGTGACTATTTTTATTGCACTTGTTTTATTCTCACTTTGTTTCTTTACCCTCCCAGTTTGTGTTAGCGACATACGGCACCATTTTTGGTCTGATCCTGATCAGCAAGCTGCGCAAACCCAAGCAGAAGGCAGTGTCCAACTAAGGAGATGTAATAGAAGGTCAGTTTGAATACAAGATTTCAGATGTTTCAAGAATTTTTTTATAAAAACTGTTCGATACATGATGTTTAAATAATTGCTTTTTACATATTTTAATATAAAAAAATTTAGAAAACTAACTTTTAGAAAATGAATTAAAAAAAAATTTTCAGATCAGTTTTGATCATGATTTATTTTCTTACTTCAAAAATATATTTGAGGACTTTTTGTTGGAAAAATGTCATACTTAAGAATCCTGTACGCTAGTCACAACATGATTAGCCCTTAGTTTTATTACACTAATTTTCATTATGGAACTGTATACTATCCATACATGTAATAGTCTCTGATATATAGACACTGTATTAGATTTGAAATCATATCAAACTGCATTTCCTAAAGCCAGTTTGTTTTTTTCAGATCCAGATGTAGCCATCTTATTCCACAAGAGACCATACTGCTGCTTTGAAGTGTCATCTAACCAAGAAGAAGCTTTCCCAAGTTGACACCATCAGTAGCCATGTAAATGTGCTTCAGCAGATGTGATTGATTCATTTTCCATTGACAGTGTGAAATGTACTTGAAGTCTTCATTCATTAAAGGAATGTAAACCGTGGTTTTACCTCTTATTGTTTGTTTAGGTAGTTATTTTGTTGTGTGTGTGTTTGTGTGTGTTTGCAATTGTGTATTTGTGTGTACATATATGTGTGTGTGGTGTCCATGGTGTGTGTGTTGTGTGTGTGTGTCCATGGTGTGTGTGTGTGTGTGATGTGCTGTGTGTATGTGTTTGTGTGTACATGTATGTGTGTGTGTGTGTGTGATGTGCTGTGTGTGTGTGGTGTGTGTGTGTGTGTGTTTGTGCGTACATGTATGTGTGTGTGATTTGCTGTGTGTGTGTGGTGTGGTGTGTGTTTGTGTGTGTGTGTGTGAGAGAGAGAGAAAACCTCAGAAAAATTACTTTTTTGCCGTCCTGTAAAAGCATAGGGTGCCCAACCGCACGAACTGAAGGCTTTATAGAGCTCTTTTACATCTCACATTGTAAAGCAACCCTAGAATTTCATGTTTCCATGAAAAGTAATCTAACATATATACGATGTATTGACATGGCAAGATTATTTTATTTTTTTACTCCAAAGATCGGTCGTGTATTATGCACTGCCCAATTCAATTATGCTACTAATCATTTCATGCTCGAACCGAGGACATTATACACACTTTATAATGTCCTTGCTCTAACCTAGTACTGAATCAACCAGACTTAGAGTACCAGCAAATGACTCTGGTTGAACTCAATCATGCAGTGTAAGACATTGCTAGCCCTGTGGTGAAGGAGAAACGAGCGTAGGAGAAAGATTCATTTTGATAAATGAGCTGGGAAACCTCTGGGTTCGACCAGTCTAGTGTCTGTATGACGCGGTGAATAAGAGGCGGTCTGCTGAAAGATTGATCAACGAAACACATTCAACGATTACAAAGAGCCAATTATGCCTTCAGAACTGGACATTAGAGGCTCAATATCTTCTTCAACGTGGATCAATAGGTCTGGATGAAAGGCTGTGGGTTGCGTTCTTTTACTATTCATGTGATCGATCATGGCAAAGTTGTGTTGTAGAAGGGTTGATGACTTGAAATAGTTTGGAGGTCATTTTTTTTATATAGACCCCACAGAGAAAGATACTTTAACGACACCTAAGAACAGGTAAAATAAGCATAAAGTTCTTAGAACTTTTAAGTTCTACTTAAAATTCATTTTAAGAATTCGCAGGAGATAGCCGGAATTATGTTATGACTCGAACCCGGGACCTCTTGGTTCCGAGTTGAGCACTCTGCCGTTACGTAACAAGAGCCCACACGCCCAGCGTTTCTACACACCCTGAAGTGGACGCAATCCACCTTGCTACTTTGTCTGTCCTGCGTCTCTTTGGTTAAAAGCCAAACTGAGCTATAAACCGAAGACGTATTGAACGATAAAGGCACTTCATCTGGCCACCCCGCTAAAGGTACTTTTACAAACTTAATAGGGTCGACAGAGGTCACATTTCCCGTTTATTCGGTTTGCGACAGCAGCTGCATTTCATGAAAATTACCTTTTGCCTTCGACAAGGAGGTTTTGTTTTCGGTTGTGTCATACAACATGAGGACACACTGGTAAACAAAGACTCTAACAGTCATCTTCGACTCCGAATTAAGGCCTACCCAGAAAAGACATGGTGGAGTGGGTGTGGTCTGGGTCTGTATGTTTGTCAACAGCATAACTCGAAAAGCTGTTAATGGATCTTCATAATATTTCGTGGGTAAGTAGCGGTTGTGAAAACGAAGGTCAACTTCAAATCGGCATTTTAAAATTAACTTAAGATTATTATCATAAAAATTAATTAAAATCAGGACGTTATTTGCATAAAGACGGAATACTAGAATACCCTTGTTTCTTGTGATTAGGCGAAGAATATACTAGTATATGTCATTGATCAACTGATGTATTCCCTACAGTTATGTGTATAATCAGTACAAGTGTACAATTCGTCAGCCATAAAAGTTAACTTTATTTGGTAAAGGTACGAAGTCGTAGACCTCTAGCTTTTTTTGTGTGTTTTTTTTTAATCCAAGCCATTGCCGATGAGTAAGGTGAATGTGAGCCAAAATCTTGGAGCGCATCAGCGTGCGCATTCACGGATCTGGGCATAAACCTATCCATAAGGACCATTAGCCTCAGGTGCACAGTAATGCTAGATTGGAAAATATAAATCATCTGGTGGTAAATTCACCTGGCATTGCAGAATGGTGTAGATCAAGTAGTACATCACAATAATATAACCACGTACTTGTATGGAATGTACGGAAATAGACATTTCTTTCCAAATGTAATCTATAATGAAAAAAAAATGTATTCTAAAAGATAAAACCTCAAAGGAAATTACCGACATTGAGATGATTTATTACATATTTTCTCGGCGATGGCTATAGAAAGCCATTGTTTGATTTTATCTGATCTATTATACAGTAGAGGATATTGTAAGGCTAACCCTCATGTCTGGACAATAAACAATTAACGATATGGAAGAAGAACGGTTATAAGATAGGTAACAAACAATTAATTATATTTTCATTGAGCATATTGAATCATTAGACGACTGGGTAGCCTAATTCAATTTTAACAAATTGTTTTTAATGGGGCCCAGACTAGAGAAATATTAAGATAAGGTATAAAATACAAAATATACGTGACGAATTTTTACCGGGATTGTGAGATAAGTGTAAAAAAATAATCGCTAAAAATTAAAACACAAATGTGTTATATGAAAACTTATACAAAAGCCAAAAAAAGGTTATTTCTTATTTGTCACATAAATCTACCAAAACAGAGGACTGGCTTCAGATGGCCGGTGGCATTAAAGTGTTATAAACGAGGTGTTCGCCCCCGTTCCATTGAGGCAGGTCTGGGCGTAGTACGCAGTGCAGTTACTTAAATGTCGGCTCAGAGGTTTTATTGCCCATGATATGCCTTTGGGTATGTACATCTACACGTTACTCACTTGGACTACCCGGTAGCACAGACTCTAAGCTAGATGACCATGCGGGGAATTGCCATTTTCTTCCTTTGGGCAACCAGTTTCCTAACATACGGCACCGATGCTGAAGAATATCGAGGTTTTGGTGAGTACCCCAACTTAAGAACTCCCACATGTTATATTTATAATCTTGAATTCAAGTATGCTGAATTATTGTCTTTCTAAAAGGGACGTGGCAGAATAATTGCATAAGAATAATTGCTCGAAGTAATGTTCTCCTGAAATAATGTTGATATCTACAACCTCAATGTCTGTACCGAGACTTTATGACATCGGCAAAAATACACACGGAGGCACCTAGCTTTCTTTCAAATTTTATACGGCAGCACATAATAGAAGTGGAAAACTAAAATACATCGGTCTTTATACATATGTGTATTAATTACTATGATACCAAGTGACACAAATTTTCCGATGCACACATCCGAACTATTCTTCTTTTTTTTTTTTTTTTTTGCTTAATGTTAAGTCAAATGGATGTACCGCACTGCCTCCTTGAACATTGGGATGTAGGTAAATTCACATCAGGGGCATACTGCTTACAATTATAAAAATGGCGATGATGAGTAGAAGAAATGCTTCTACGACTTACTCTTGCCAAGCAGCTGTGTGTAAATTAGGACCAGCTGCAGTTTAACCAAGTAGCAATATTGCGGTAATAAAGTAACGTTATGCTGGTACTCCAGTCCTATTTACCCTTAATTTAAGTGTGTGAGTAATTACAGACTATACGGTTTGGCCCATAACCTGCCATTAAAGTATTAGATGTAACGGTGGTTACGCTGTGACTGCGTAATGCCACAATATCTTTCAAGCCTGCTTAAGGAACTTTACTATGTACATAACGTGAAGTATTCAATTAAGGTTGCTTGAAAGGTTTTCCATTGCATATGGCTGGCTAGATGATAAAATCAGCATAGCAGTAAGACCTAAGATGATTATGTTATTCCGTATTCTAGTCAAACGTAAGACACGGTTGCTGGACTTAATGTAGACAAATTTAAATGCAAAGTAAAATATTAATTCTCCTTTTAATTCTAACATCATTATTTCTATTTATAACGTTCAAATTAATAATGATTACCTACATTTAAGGTACGTTAGCCATTCAGCATTCACACTATTTAACATAACGTTAAAGTAAACAATGCCATTGTCATATATAATGATATACCTATCTTATAAAAAGAAGGCTTTTTTCCTAAAGGCCGTTGTTATTATTGCTAGTTTGCAATTGCAAAATAGAAAATGTTTAATTACTGTATTTGCTAATTGGTAGAATTCAACTTAATTTTAGAATGTTAGTATAGTTACTCTCCATGTTATCGTTAGATCTTACCATAGGTTTCTTGGAAACAAGAATCTTCGGAAATCTACATATTGTTACCAGCTTCCCGTAAAATAAATTGGCTGTAAAAGCATCTCGTTACATTTTCCAATCCATCCTTGTAATAGCCTGTCTTCTTCCTTAACAAGACCCGATCCTAAATTTATCGTAACGTCAATCAGAAACGTAGAGACGCTAAGACAGATTACTGAGTAGCATCTTACAATGGAACCAATAGTACTTTCAGGAACACGTAGTTGACAGATTGAAAGCTGTTCCGGTCCTATCCAGCAATTTCTAATTAAAGATTACACCTGATACATTGAGATGAATCCCTCCTATATGTTTTTGCAGACTTGAGTAATGTGTCAGTTGACAGGGTGGTTATGTATTAGCTTACCAAGGGGTAATGAGGTATTAGAGACCTTTTAAAAAGATTATCGTCAAGACCGTGAGAGTATCTAGTGCGGGTTTCACGTGCAATTTCGGGTGTTGTATGAATGAAAAATTAGCTTATTGCAAGATAAAGCGCAAAATACTTGAAACAAAATGTTTCAGACAGATCAAAACCGATTAATTTACCTGTCAAGATTATTAAGAAACTAATTAAGATGTTAATCCTTTTTAAGTCAATTTGCAGATTTTGTCCAAGAAATCTAAATAATGTGCCTGGGTTAAATTGAAACGAAGCGATTAGCCATTATGTCGGATTAAATTTTTCAGTGCTTCAAGGAAGATTAGAAGGTCAATCCGTCGGCCCTTTCAAATGTGTTGCAGAGAGATAAGATGGAGAATAATCTATCATCTGTTCAGTCATTTATACATCTGGGCTGTTTTAAACCTTCTGGAAGTAATTATCATGTTCACAACGACTACTTATAATTTTAGACATTACATTCACAGCAATGTTAGCAGTAACGATACATAACTCAAAATATATATCACAATTATAATACTTAAAACCGGTTTAAGTGTTCAAAAATATGAATACATTTTTTCACAAAGTTATTATGTACACGATTCATCATTATCTTAAAGTCAAACGTGGTCGTATACGTAACTGTCATGAATTTCAGTTGTTGTTTTTTTGTGTTTGTACATAGGAAATGTTAGTAACGAAGCAGAAGGAACAACGCTCCAAAGGCTACTTCACCATGGTAACGACAGCCAAATGTTAAACTACAACAGCTTTTTTACACCTGGTAAGAGAATTTGACATTTCTATTTTAGTCATCTCTTATGATATGTGTTCAAGTCTGTTTAAACATGCCAGGAATGTGTACATAATATCCTGTATTGCAAGTATGATAAGCCTTCTCAGATATACAGGTGAATTTGATTTATGAAAAAATACGAATGCACCATCATTGCTAGTGTTGTAGCATAGCCTGTAACCGTACGTCTATCTGCCTTTTATTTTGATCTGAAAGAATAACAGCGGATTATTTTACAGCAGGGCACAAGATGGCAATAAGAGCTCCGGCTAAGCATCTAAGGGTGGCCGTTTTCCAGGTAAATTATTAATTTTAGATGATTCTACGTAACACCTATCTGAATGTAATTGTGTAAAAGTGTATGTGTATTTATTTCGCTTATTCATAAAGTGAGGGGTTATTCTACGAGCCATGCATACGACTATACGTAATTCTAGCTTGACTACAAAGTATATTGACACCTTAGAATTGCCCCGAAGTACAATTAAACCTCCGTTCATGCAGAAAAAATTCTCCTAAGGCTTCTCTTGCCTCTTACTTACAGTATACTTGTAGTCATATAAAGGAAATGAAAATCAAGCACTGTGAATCAATGTGTTCTGTTCGTAACCGATCACACATTTCTTCCCTTTGGCCTCTACCCAGAATAGCCATAAACTCGCTCAGTCAGAAAATATCTCTCTAGGAAAATCGATATATGCGGTAATGTGGTAGGTGCCATGACTAAAGGTAGCACCGTGTCATGCTCCCACCGGCCTTTTTAAGATCAATAATACACAGCGAGTTCAAATGCTTTCTTCTTAGGAGGTCATTGGAAATATTTATATAGGACCAGGTTAAAGACACTCAAAGTGATTTCCAGGTGCAAGACATGTTCACAGCTTTGTGTCTGCTGCTTACAATTTAAGATGTATAATCTCAATGCACGCTAGAAATCTGTAAAAAAAATCTGTTCATATAGGTTTTATTTAAATATCAATTGGCATGCCATATCATGGCAATGTCACATGTCCAATTGTAATAGTCACCGCACACATTACGTTAATATCCATCCCCTTAAAAACTGATTCTATTTTTGAACATCTTTTGTTTTGTTTTTCTGATGTCTACAAAAGCGTTAAAATGCAGACTTATTGTGTCAACAGGAAGAGCCCTTTGTGATGCTGAAGGAAACCTCAACGGGAAGGAAGTTTGTTGGCTTCTGTGTGGACCTTCTTGAGGAACTGAAGAAAACGATGGACTTCGAGTACATTCTTCAGGAGACTCCGGATCGCAAATCCGGAAATGCCCTGGAGAACGGCACCTGGGACGGTGTAATAGGCGAAATAATGAAGGGGGTAAGAGGATTTATGGCAATTTCAAACTTTCAGAAATATTTAAATCAAGATTGATTGTCTGCTAAATCCTAAAAAAATGTTGTTTGTTTTAAACTTTTTTATATAAAATTTAATGATTCCTTTTTCAGAATGCTGACCTGGCCACTGGTTCTCTCACTATAACCTCCCAGCGTGAGGATGTTGTGGATTTCACCAAACCGTTCATGGAGTACGGTATTGTCATGGTGATGAGACGGACTGAGGACACGGAGAGGGACACATTCGCCTTCGTACATCCCTTCTCTGGGATTGTATGGGCAGCCATAATTGCAAGGTAAAATAAATATTACTGATATTTTTGTATCTGTATCTGTATAACCGGTATAACACACCAGCTTCGCAGGTACGCGGCGCGGCGGCAGCCGGCTACATTACATCGATCGACTTGTTACACCTAACCCTTGAACATCTAACTCCAGTCATTGTTTAAAGCTATCTAATGACAATGCCCCTACTGTACTTGGTGAATTCCGCTCTGTGCAATAGTTCTAGGAAAGAATGAATTCTTGAACACCTCAATCCTTGGTTGATGACTCTGGTACTTGAAGGCATGGCTATTTCTTGTTCTCTTCTGGGCTAGTATCAGGTACTTAGTAGTTGGTACGTCCACCAGTTTATTAGTCATTTTGTACATCATGCATAGCCTGGAAATAATTTTTTTATTTATTTAATTGTAAGCAAAGGAACATAAAGTTCCACCATCTCAATTGTTATCTTATTCCGTTACTTTATTTTGTTTGGCACATCGGATCCTTATCGTAATGGCAAACTTACATGGGTTCGATGTAAATGATAACGTTATCATCAGGAAAACTATAAGATATGTGTGTAACGGAGGCCTGGCGAACCCCGTCTTGTATTAAGCTAACGAAAGGGTATGTCACCTTGTAAGGGGCGGTATAAGAGAGAGAGAAGGGTTAGAAAAAAAATTCACCACTTTTCAGCTGTGATACACTTTATTCTCTTTTAAACAAGATACATACAGCAGTCACCTCTCATCTGAACATGTGGACAGACAATGTTCCTGGCTTCTTGACGGTCACAACAAATCTTAGGAAAAGACGTTAACAGATTCTTTGTTATGTTAATCTGAAGTGTAACCGACACCGTTAACTGTTACCTGTTCCTAATTGTTGTTATCCTGCTGGGAGGGCTAGCCTCATGGACCGTTTTGAACATTACTGTGACATATCATTAAGCTTTCTATCAATACAAAGAACAGAAGATTGGGTGTACTGAATGGCACTACGAGAGAGTCACAGTTGTAGAGGTAGCGCCTTTCATGTGAATTTTTTCATGTCGGGATAGGACAGACCTAGTGGCTGAAGAATAGTTACACTGGTCACATTTGTAGGGTTTTCCTCCTGCATGGGTTCTCATATGTCGGGACATGTGGGAACTGTCAGCTGTCCTGTGCCCACACTCCCCACACATGTAGGGTTTCTCACCGGTGTGTTTTCTGAGATGACGCTTTAATTCAGCTTTCTGTACTACACAATAATCACATTGGTCACACTTGTAGGGTTTTTCTCCTGTATGGGTTGCCATGTGTAGGAGTAAGGTACACTTTCGCAATGTCCTGTACCCACACTCCCCACACATGTAAGGTTTCTCACCAGCGTGTTTTGCTAGATGTCGGTAAAAGGAAGAATTGTGTGCTGTAGAATAGTCACACTGGTCACACTTGTAGGGTTTTTCTCCTGTATGTGTTCTCATATGTTTTAACAAGTCAGACCTTACTGCAGTCGAGTACGAACATTCCCCACACATGTAAGGTTTTTTACCTGTGTGTTTTGCAAGGTGGGCATCTAAGCCGGATTTCTTTGCTGCAGAATAGTCACATTGGTCACACTTGTAGGGTTTTTCTCCTGTATGGGTTCTCATATGTTTTGATAAGTTCGATCTGTCAGCTGTCCTGAATCCACACTCCTCACACATGAATGGTTTTTTACCAGTGTGTTTTGCCATATGGCAGTTTAATGAACTTTTCTGTTTAGCAGAATAGTCACACTGGTCACACTTGTAAGGTTTTTCTCCTGTATGAGTTCTCATATGCATGAAAATATTTGATCTCCCAGCCGTACTGAACTCACACTGGTCACATTTGTAGGGTTTCTCGCCAGTGTGACCTGCTAGATGTCGGACCAAGGTATCTTCTCGTGCTGCAGAATAATCACACTGGTCACACTTGTAGGGTCTTTCTCCTGTATGGATTCTCTCATGTTGGGATAACACTGACTTTCGATCAGTCCTGTACCCACACTCCCCACACATGTAGCGTTTCTTACCAGCCTTATTCATGTTGACCCTTTCTGCTGCCGTCTAGTCTTCAACATTCTTGTTTTGCTGTCGCAGTCAACGTTGGAAACCCCAATAGGAGACCCATCACACAAGAACAACATTAGAGGAAGACCCTTGTCCTGCTGCTGGCATGTCTAACCTAAAGAAAAAACATGATGAAAAATTGAAATTATAAAGATTTATCGTTAAAGCTGTTAACTGTAAAATAAGGTTTACATAAAACAAAATTTATCGAGTTCCAGTTGATTTGAGCAAGCTATATAATTTCAACCTAATGCGTCTAGAAACCGCAGGTGGCAATGCAAGGGGCCGAGCGTATTTTTTTCCGCCCCCCCTCCCCTTTATCTCCACTTTAATTATTCACGTCTAGGAAATGTCTATACTTTCTCGTCCTACTGCGGTCATTCTTCAACACAAGTGATCTCAAACTATCGCCCTCGACATTAGAATACTTGGATGTTCTTATGTTAAAGTCTTACCTGCTTTCCAAGATGTTTTAATTTCTTCTTCACGTACACCGGGACTCTGGCATTCCTTCCGTCGTGTCGCTAGGTCACAGGTGAATACAATGAAGTTCAAAGGTGAAATTGCACACCTGGTTACACCGGATAAACAACTTGCTTTTCATGTCAACTCTGCTGTGGCTGCACAAAAGGCCAACCAAGTTCTTGGGCCAGTAAAGAGGACATTTTCCAATCTTGCTAATAATAAGGAAGCTGTAACGTTATTGTACAAATCCATGGTCAGGCCGCACCTGTAGAATATTGCCAATCTGCTATATATGGGGACCACACTTTAAATGCAGGAGGGATTGCATGTAGGAGGGATTTAGTCATTTAGACTCCTGTCTGACAATATATATATGAATGAGTTTAAGTGAGAATTAACAGAGCTGACCATATACGAAGGTAAACATTATGTATTTTCTTTCCAAATCTGTAGAACATCTCATATGTACTAAACTAGGCACAATTCAAACTTATCTTTCAAACTTTCTAAAGTCCAAATAGAATCTGGCCGAAGAAGGTTTGCGTATAGGATCCCTGATCCTGCCCCCAATGATAGCCCTCCCTGATCCTGCCCCCACTGGTAGCCCTCCCTGATCCTGCCCCCACTGGTAGCCCTCCCTGATCCTGCCCCCACTCGTAGCCCTCCCTGATCCTGCCCCCACTGAAGGCCCTCCCTGATCCTGCCCCCACTCGTAGCCCTCCCTGATCCTGCCCCCACCTCAGTAGCCCTCCCTAATCCTGCCCCCACTGGTAGCCCTCCCTGATCCTGCCCCCACTCGTAGCCCTTCCTGATCCTGCCCCCACTGAAGGCCCTCCCTGATCCTTCCCCCACTCGTAGCCCTCCCTGATCCTGCCCCCACTCGTAGCCCTCCCGTGGAGCATTTGCCTGGAACGGCCTACCTGCCACAGTTAGAGTGGCCACGTCTTACCTGTCGTTTAAGAAGCTTTTGAAGCAACACTGCTGACCTCTGACCTCCTGACCTTGGCCTGGCATAACGACTTTGATTTATGTATTTATGTTATGTATTTTTATTGTGTCAATTTCATTGTTTTTTATGTTTCACTTGTTGTTACAGGGCATTCCTGAAAAACACTGATTTTGAATACATGTAGCACTGAGGTTTCTACCCTGTATAAATAAACCAGAAATAAATAGATAATATATCTCACTTTGAAAATTTCTAGTTTTCAACTATTTTCCCTCTGACCTCAGCATGTTCGCAGTGGGTATCCTGTTGTACCTGACCAGTCGAGCTCGGTACCGCCTGGGTGTGCAGAGTTACCATGCAGACAACGACAGAGACTTCAACCTCAGGAACAGTCTGTGGTTCGCGTACTGGTCCCTCATGAGGAAAGGTAACTGCGAAATGTGGGGATTTATGAATGAGGTAATATCAACTTTATAAACAGTACAGTACAGCACTATGCCAATGTTGCGAATAAAAGTCAAGCCCTATATTTTCATTGACAAAGTAGTCAAATCAAGCACGTCGATCGGCAGAACGTACTGCACCTGCGCGAAACCCGTAGTGTATTATACATAGCACTTCGGTAGAACGTCTCATATAAGGTCCTATTCGCGCATATAAGGTTAACATCTCGTCTGTAGTTTCCAAATGTTATATGTTGGAAAAGATATCTTCTGCAACAGGCAAAATTCCAATGCAACGTTGACCAAAAATCCACCGAAAAGCGTGAAAATGTGGGGTTCTGCACAGGCGCAGTACGTTCTGTCGACGTGCTGTCAAATCAAAACAATAATGCAATATAGAGACGAAGCAATGATGTCCTGGTGCAATGTTTACATGATCCGATAGGTGGCGAGCCTCCCCCGCGGTCCCCGTCAGCCCGGATCATCACCGGTGTGTGGTGGTTGTTTGCCCTCATCGTGGTCTCCACCTACACCGCCAACCTCACGGCCTTCCTCACGGTGCGCCATCTCAGCGTGCCCGTGTCATCCGTGGAAGACCTCGCCGCTCAGAGTTCCATTCTGTACGGGATCACGGATAAGGGTTCGCTATTGGACTTCTTTAAAAATCAGGAAGGTACGAGCGTCAATTTTGTGCAAGATAATGCATTTGGTTTGCAAATGTTAATTTTACTAGCCATCTTTTGTTTTCACTTTTTTTTTATCTTCCAGGCACCAACTCCGTGTATGAACGCCTGTGGCACGCGATGAAGGCGAGGCCCGGGGAGAGTTTCGTCAGCTCTGTGAATGAAGGAATGGACCGCGTGCTGACCAGTAACTACATCTTCATGGTGCACGATCCGTACTTTCAGAACAGAGCGAGGAGTGACACGGAGTGTAGACTAGCCACGGCGGGGGCACCTTTCCTGTACCGCGGGTACGGCATAGCTACGCAGAATAACAGCCCATGGACGGAGAGACTGTCGTTAGAGTAAGTGTACAGCTCTATGCCGTTATCTTGGCGACAATAAAACTGTCAACAGCGTTACTCTCAGGATGTGGGGAGGACATCTCATCCCAGTAGACACTGACTAACGCTGAATACAGTTCTTCAGTTACTAATGTAAACACTTTGTGTGGTGACGAAGAAATTGTCGTTAGTCTAAGAGTAAGTGTTTTAGTCGGTCCAGATTTTGCGCCATCGACATAAGTATGACTTGCCTAACCCCACAACTTGTCTAACGTGACATTGACCACTATTTGGAACAGCACACGGCCAAATTACTGCGTATGACGACAGCGAGAAATCTTGATGGAATTGGACAGTTTTCCATTGATTGCAACAGTATGGCAGTCTTTCTACAATGCATGCATTGTTGCCAATTTGGTCCGATAAAGTCAATGGTGTAGTTTATTTTAATTGTAAAATCGAGTAAAAATTTTGCTTGCTCTCTAGATCTGTCTTGTCTTGTCGCCATACATTTGCCACTTTTCCTCTGTCACTCTGTAAGTGGTCGTTTTAGACAAACTTGACTATATCATAATGTAAAAACCGATGTTTTGGGTTGACTCAGAATCTTGCGGCTCCGGGAGTCCGGGAGGATAGACCTTCTGCGCGACACGTGGTGGCCGAGGAGCAGCTGTAGTCTGGACGGCGCCAGGAAAGACGCGAGCGCGCGGGAGCTGGCCATGGCTGACTTCATCGGCATCTTCTATCTACTAGCAGGGGGTAGGTGGACAAAGATGTCGGATTGTGACTTAGCTATAGCGTACGCCATATTGGCAACTGGAAAAACTAGAAATCGGCCAAATAGAGAGATAACATGCCAGGGGAGTTGGTCTGCTGGAGAGAACAGTTGCCGCTCCCGCTTCCGGCATGTTATGTCTCTATTTGGCCGATTTCCAGCCGCCTCCCGAAGCCTGGTAAAGGCTACATATTGGCTAGAAACACCTAAAAAGAGACAGTCTATGGAACATATGTACGTGTTAAAGGCATCCAGCGCAATTTCAAGCCGTTTTGCTAGAATTTCTAGAACAAGGACAGGTAATACTGTTGATGAATACAAGAATAACATGTCTGTTTGGTTTTTATGTCTTGTCACCACACATGCATGCAATTCTTGATTAACACGGCTTATAACCTCAAAATTCAAAGATTCTTTTTTTTTCGAAATATCGTATTAGATTTTGAGTCCGCGGAGGATGTCCTCCATAAAATTTACCTGCTGTGGTATTTTTTTGCCTTAACAGGTTGTGTTCTAGGATGTGTAGTGGCAGTACTAGAAATATTGTGGTGTCGATTCCGAGGATTCAAGACCAAGGTAACAACATACCATTAACCTCTGTCGTTTATATATCATTGCCTGTTTTATGATTTATATGTAGCTTTCAATACCATACTCAAAGTTATTACATGGCATAACTACTGTAATACATTATATTACCTGTAAAAAATTTTGTCATAGTATGATTTGTGTCCATTTCTAGGAAATATTTATACAAAATTAAAATGCTGTTGAGTCACAGAAATTACTAGCATCTAAATTTTATGCTAATAGTTACAGTCCGTACTAAAATACTACACATTTGTAGTGTAGTTTTTTTAGCAAACAAGGATACACAGGAGGTTACAATATTTAGTACACATGTTTTTACTTTTGTATCTAAAAAGGTGTATCAGCAAGCCTTTAATTGGTCATTTGATTAGGCACTATTAATATCTATCGACCATGTTGTGGCTATTCTGTCCAATATATATATATATATATATATATATATATATACTACCACAATAATAATTTCATAAATATTATGAATGATATATAGATATTTTTTACAGGGTGTAGAAGACATCGAGGAGGGCAATCTGCAGGAGCTGATGAGAGGTTTTTCCAGCGGTCAGTACGCGATACTGATACAGAGGAACACTTACAAACAGAGACACTGTGATAATTGTCATAACAACGTCAATACCAATACTACCAGATTGTAAGATAAGAAAGATAACTGTAACAGGAATATATAAGTGTATTAGACGACAACATCGTTGAAAAATATTCCTTGATGTAATGCAATAAAGGGCTGATGATGTCACGAACAAATGTGTATATTTAAGGATTAATGACCCACCGCAATGTGTGTATGTTGTAATACGGCCTTGTCAGTCAATTAACATCAAATAAACCACCGAGTTAGCGTAGCGAACGCTAATTGGTCAAGATCATTATTCACGTCCGGGTTGGTGATGGTGATATAAACACCTAAAAATTGAGATTTTTGATTGGTCGTCGTCTTCTAGCTATATGATAATGCCTGGCCAGTTAAGGTTTCTTTAACCATTGAATATACCGCCGAGTGAGCGAAGTGAATGTGGTCGTATATCAGTTGTTTATAGAAACTGATCGGGCTTGTTGTCACATAGTCACAGACCAAAACGTAGGACATCGATGTCGTTATCGTATAGCCTATTGACACTGACATCGACTAAGAATTTTGTCTTTTATTTTGCATACCTTTTACGTATCTTTCCACACCTTTGATATAATTATACAACTATGCCCTCTGTAATTACCTACACTATTGTAATCATCGCCGTCACATCTAGTTACAAATACTTCAGAAAATCCGCCTAGCCCACACAATGGGTTGGTCAAACAGGCACTATTCAGTGCTTTTAATGCTCAATAATCCATACTATATGTTGGCTGTTGATTGGTTAATCTATTCTTGCTATTAGACAGTAAAATCCACGCTATATCTCCTACTGCAGAAGAAGCGAATGATATTGGACAGTATATGTGTTTACCAATTGTCTTTCATTGCAGTCATGTGGTGTTTCTAAAATCACACTGGAGTATATATATACTATGTAGATCCAAATATGTTAAAGTCATAAAGATTCACAAAGCAATAACGTACATTATTATGAAATATACCTATATAGATATACCTCTTCAAAACAACATTCAAAAGTTAGTAGATATGTACATTGTAAACATGCCACAATCCATTCATTATCATTGTTTCTATCAATCAAACAGCAAGAGCCCTTTGAGTAGCAAAAGTGTCAGAATCAATGCTAGTTGTACATACAAAAACAATTGTTTTTATTAGACTGTATCTAATCTCGAATAAACATAGATTTAATCATTGAGAAAATGTAAGTATTTTTTTCCTTTCCAATCAATGTTCCAATGGAGATATTATTTTGCACTTTTACATCCGGTTTATAAACCCTTCTGAGGCCCCATGTTTTAACGCAACCATTTGCTGTGCCCGGGGCCATTTATAGATATGTAAGTATGCATGAAACATTATTGACGGTGTGTAAAAACGGGTAATAAACTTGGGATATTGAAGCACAACGATGTTGTTATTGCTTGCACAAGCTATTTTGTAGGAAAGCAAAGGCCACACTGATTTTATTTAATGGATGGCATCCTTTGAAGACCCCAAACAAATGCGAGAGGGCGAACAAAAAAAATCTGGCCAAAATGGTGGTAGACCACAGAAATACAAGGCTAATATTGTAAATTTTCGGACGAACTTTTACTCCCATTACCACATGCTACAGAGGAGCGTGTTACTTAAAGCAAAATTTCACGCAAATCCAACAATTCAGGGTGGCAAAACAAAACTAAAAAAAAAACTTATTCGCATATTCTGATACTTACATTACTGTCACATTTTAATCATCATTTCATCGTTTAAGCATTTGAAATTCCCCTAAGAAACGGAATGAGTCTCTTCATGTTCAGTACCACAAAAAATAGCTAGAACGAAAGGATAACCAAACAACAATATTTTTGTCACTTGCATCGCATTTTTGCCTCAGAAATATTAGTATGAAATGTAAGAAATGTAGATCCTACATTAAAATAGTGTCCAGAAAACTGCCGACTTTAAACATGCAGTTCTGCTGCCCTAAATTGACCTTCAACGATATAGTCATATAGAGAGAAGCGACAAGACAAGCACCCTGGGTGTAGAATATGATGGATGTCAGACTTACAGGAAGACTGGAAATATTTCTGGACGGCTGCCAGCTACTCCATAAGAGAGCACTGGGGGCTCATAAAAATGATGTGGCTTTTTAGATAAGATTTTGATAACTTCCTTTAGAATCTTTGATAAAATTGCTGGCACCACATGAGCCCATATATCAAGTTCACTCTTACAAAATTGTTCGTAAATATTACACATGTGTTTGGAATTCTAATATAGGACATGCACTAAGTGCTAGTTGTGAATTCCTTAGGTTAGAAAGTTCCATGCTGTTCTTTAGTTATAGGCAACCACTTAACATTGACAAATAAATTAGTCAAATCAACTAGACGATAGAAATTAAACATTACATACAATTTACATTGTACAATTCCTGGTGCATACTTGTGAAACTATTGTTACATAGAAATATATTATGTTAAAACATCTCTAGCTATAGAGAACTGTTGTTCTTGCATACCTAGATATTTTTCCGTTATGTATGTTGTACACGTACATATCCCGGTCACTTTTAATTTTACCTAGTTTCATTTTGTTTAATTATTGTCCACCAATTGTATTAGTTTCTGTTCTGTACATTACGCCGAATCGTATTGTAGCGGACTCTAATTAGAATATTGTAAAATGTATGTTACACATTAAGTAGGTCCTAATAAAACACACAAACAAACTAAACAAACAAACAAACAAACAAAAAGTTTTAGCTCTGTGTCAGTAAATGTTGTAGTAGAAGTAGTTTCCAATAAAATCGCATATGATATAGCTGGCCTACATTTAGCACCATTTTGATTTCATCAACATGGTCTTTCAATAGTAAAGGCACGGTCAACAGAAGAAACATGATATGTTTTAGAATAAAGCACTCAGAACGACTTGTCTATTTATTGTCTTTCACGGATTCCCGTCTTTGTTGTTCGTTGACTCGATCTTCTGAAAGACGACGCGAATCTCACCAAGTTCGACCCTTCGTATACACTCCCTTAATAAGGCATGGTCTGTGCACTCATGGCCTTCGTCCATAGGCATGGTGTGTTGACTCTGTAAAACAAGCATATACAATAAAACATGTAACAGGGTCAGTTTACTGAGGAAAATCACAGTGACTGGTCGAAAGCTCTGGGTGAGATAATTCTCTGTATGTATCAAAAGCTCAAACTTTTAAAGTTTAAACATGTAACAAAGGATCACTTTAACTTTTATAAGTTAGAGAAAACAGAGAAAAGTTAACTTACAAACAGTGACAGAGTAAAATAAAGACTAGTTATAGAGTAACATGCAGTGTCCTGCTGGTTTTGTCTTCAGATTGTAATACAACAACCCTAACGAAAATATCATCTTGCCACAAATGTTGCAAGTAATCAGTAATTCTAGTGAATATGACATTTAGCCATATAGCACTGATAAATCAAAGTTTTAGTAGTGAAAACTTAATAACAAGATCTGACGAATACCAGGTTATTGATTCTAATGATTCCAGAAAGGCGCAATAAACTCGCCGTAAGGCTGCTTACCTCCTTGGCGTGATGTGTTTTCTGCCAGTAGATTTCACAAAGAGCAACGACAACTCCGAGCATCAGACCACAGAACAACAGGTAAAACACTCCCTGTTGGAACATCGCAAGAAACAGGTACATTATACACATGTAGATGTTACCATTTTTCGGAAAAAATAGCGAACTCCGTCTTCTGTTTAATGTAATCTGATCAAAACTCATAGAGATCAATAAAACCAAGCGTTAGCATAAAAATATTGCCTGTGCTGGTAGCTCTAAAATTATTTTCTCATTGTAGTCTTTTCAGAATTTACGTAAGCAACCATATCGATTACAAGTCTTTTAACAGACTTAGAGTCTTTGTATTCAAGGGAAGTTTCTAAGAGTAACTACAGTTAAAGTGTTTTTTTAGAGTTCTGGTTAAAAGGCTTCATGTTTGTAAAGAAATGTACCTTCAGGTCAGCTAATGTTAGACCGCTGGCATTGGGCCTGGGATTAGACCCATCTAGGGAACATTCTGACTTTGGCCACCATCGGTCCCTCAGCGTGTTGATTCTGCCCAACTCTCGCAACTGTAAGATGCTGCAAAATGGGAAAGATCATGATCTATATAATCAGGGCCACTTATATCTCAAGGGGGCATTATGTAACGTTTTTTCACCAAAATAAAAAAAAAGAAGAAATATAATAAGTATAAAATGTTGTGTGACTGTAATTATTTTCCACCCATTATCTTGCATTTCAATAAGAGAAGAATGGCAATGAATAGATGATGGACACCCCAGTGGTAAACCCAGACGAGGGGGGGGGGTATAAAACTAGTCACGTTTGGGATTGTTCTCTCCGCAAAAGCACCACCTACATCGCTACATATAGCGACGAAAAGAAGAACTCCAGTCAGAAGCTCTGATAGACACCGAAACGTACTAAGCAGGTGAGATACAGTACAAGTTGTATGAGAAGAAAATCCCTATATCCAGGTTCTTTTAAACATGTCAGTGCGGGGGTGTATTGCAGTCAGGGCAATCATGAGAATCATTTTTATTGAGCCGCTCATCTTACCCGACAGTGAGTTTCTCTGTCCAGTGACTGTGGTTCCTTGTTGCAATCCCATAGCCGCCATAGACGAACGGTGCTCCAACCATGCTCAACCGGCATTCAGGGTCTTTCATTGCCTATCAGTGTGAGAACAAAAACTGCATTTAGTTTACATACCACCATCCTGTGCACAATCTTTGAACGGTCATTCAAACGGTTCAAAGTTTAAACGGTCATTCAAAAACTATGAACAAGTAGGGGGGGGGGATTTATTGGATAATAGCACCCACTAGCTTTAACCAGGCCTTCCTAAGGTGATATGGATCGTGGTATTTGATTAAAAAAATTGAGGAAAAAATTGGCCAGGAGAGTCAGTCTACTTTGGTTAATTACTCTATTTGGATAAATTTGAACTCAAGACTTTCATCTGGTACAGACAAAGAATCTGCTAAAACACCACAAGGTATCCCAATCAACTACTTTTATTGCTATTTACATGTAATAGCTTCTTATGCAAATATTTTATGAACATCAAAATAAACACTGCCAAAGATATCGTTCATGATAAACAGCTCAATTGTAAGTTTATTTAAATCTAATTTGAAAAAAAATGAAACAAGACAAAAACAAAGAAATCCTCAATGATGCCGGTTCTGTAGAACTTTTGCTATAACGTTGCAACATAAAATCTTATGGCAACCTTTTTGTATATGTCACAACCTTTTTTTTATAAAGCATGTTATGCCACATGCATTGCTAATGGAATTACCTCGTACACGAAATACGTGCCATCTGTTATGAAGGCATATCCTCCCTGTCTCGCTCTGTCCATCCCCTCGTGAAGGTTACTGACAAAGCTTTCCTGAGGGTTTGCCTTCATGCCGTACCAAAGTCTTTCATAGATAGAACTTGTGCCTAAGGAGAGAAAAGTAAAATTCAGTAAGACGCCAGTATATGTAGCTTGCGCCTATTTTATCGTTTACACATACCTGTGCTAGTTTTTCCTTATTCTTCTTCCATGGAACAGATCCTCCTTTATTCATATAGGGATGGACTTTACAAATTTTACTCTCAGGTAATAAAATACATTTTATTTGTAAGTTTATTTAGCCTGATTTATTTAGCCTGACTTACGCTTTTCCCAAGCAACCCTTAGTCTTGCATGTATATACATTGTAATAAAGATGATTTTAAACCCCCCTTATCGTGACCTGGCTTCGTTTTCGAGAATAAATGTGTAAGATACTCACTCTCTTGCGCTTTGAAGAAATCGTACAGCGACCCGTGGTTGACGATGCCGTACTTTACTTTGGTTTGCGAGGCGAGGTCATCCAGAGACGTGACGGGGTGTTTGAGGCGTTTGACGGTGAGGAAGGCCGTGAGGTTGGCGGTGTAAGTGGACACGACAATCAGCACGAACAGCCACCAGAACCCGGCCATGATCCGCGTGGACAGAGACCGGGGTGGTGGCTCTCCTCCTTTTGAATTGTAGAGTACAAAAATCCTCTGTTACGCATACGAGAGTATTGACTAATCGAAGAACCCCGCAATATATGAAAAGTGGCTTTATCAATGGCAATAAATGCCAGTAACTTAGGGTAATATTTACTTTAAAACACCTAAAGACTTATGGTAATGGTAGTAAATAAGTAACTAAATAACATGAAGTTTGGTAATTACATTCACTACTATTATTTAGTCCAAAATTACAGCATTTGATTTTATTCGAGCAGTAATACGGTCATGAGCACATAAAATCCAAGTAGGTCAGAGTGACGTTGGCAGTACAAATTTGACTCAAATTTAACTTAAATTAGATTCGATTTAACATGTATAGAAAGCTTGGCGTGTCCTAAATTTATTCAGACTGCTCTAAACACCAGCCAACCCTGGTCGGCTGATGTTCGGAGGAAGGATCTGTATGTGTAACAGGGACCCAGTCAAGGCCATACAGAAAGATATATTGACGCATCTTTGTGATAAACCTATTGTCCTCGAAGCTTTTTCTTCATAACATATTAGCATTTGATTACCTTTCCGCATCATGGACCAGTAGACAAACCAGAGGCTGTTTCTCAAGTTAAAGGCCCTGTCGTTATCGGCATGTCTGTCCCCGGCGTTCATCTTCAGCCGCAGTCTGCTGGTCAGGAACAGCAGGATCCCGACCGTGAACATGCAGGTAACGATACACAACCAGACCTGGGAACGGGAGGAGCACCTGATCTCTAATGCGTTTCTTTAGCCCTTATGTTAAAAGTAGAATTTCTCATTGATTGATCTCTTAATCCATCACATATACGTGTCTGAAAGACAAGGCAGGCCAAAGGCTTATTATAGGCTCGTCATACAACCATTTTTCTAAATTATACTTTGACCCTAAAAACACATACTAAAAAGTTGAAAAAAAAAAGAATCAAGCAATAAACTCCACAATCAGCAGCTAGCTATACAATTACAGACTTTCATCCTTAAACAATTTGATCATGTAAGGAATTGGACTCTTTATATGTTTTACAGCTAGGGATTTGAATGAATGTCTGTGCAATTTGAAGATACACTTACTCGCTGCTCAGTTAAATAGGCTATCCTTATCTGTATGTATGTATGTTACGTATGTATGTATGTATGTATGTATGTATGTTACACACAAAGATTGTTTGTCACCTGCCAATGGAAAGGATGGGTAAACGCCAGGATGTGCCTATCCTCCTGTGACGGTCTGCGCATGACGAGTACGTTTCCATACTCCATAAAAGGTTTGGTGAAGTCAACAACCTTTTCCCTCAGTGACGTAATTGTCAGGGCGGAAACGGCCAGGTCAGCCTTCTAGAATAAACAACAAATACTTTCAGATTATACAAATTAAAATATAATGAAAATATTTTCTTTACATTCCTGTAGTTTGTGGTGGCAACAAAAACTGAGTGCATCTGGTGTGGGCTGTTTGGCACAAATGTCATAACAGGTGGGAAATTACAATCACACAAAAGATTTTTTTTCAATTAGATATTACGTTTTTTGTACAAAAATGGTACATAATGGCCATTCAAACGGTTCCAAAAATAACCCTTACTGTAACACCAAAAACAACATATTTGAGTCTCAGTGGTAGAATAAACGACGTGCTGAGACAACGGGTAGGGATTTGTCATTAAATGATGATGTGTAAAAATAGAAATGTGGATTATAAATTAATACGGCCTATATATATGCAATTTAGAAAATATACCTTATTAACAAGCTGACCAATAACTCCCGTCCAGTTGCCGTCAGGAAGTTTATTTCCTGCAATGTTGTCCGGGCTTTCGTACAGTTCATACCGGAAGTCTACCACGGATGACAGATCATTCAGCAGATCCACACAGAACCCACTCCACTGGAACCCGTCCGGACTCACTCGCTTGACTATAAATGGGGACCTCTAAATACGACAGAAAGGCCTGGTTAATTTCTTCTGGCCCTCATGGTTTAAGAAAAAGTACAAGCATGCGAATGTACAGATGCCTTGGCAGAAATCCATTTTATATCACATGTATATTATATTTTACGCTACTTGAAAGACATTTAGAGCGATTTCATTGCTGTATAACTGTTTTCAAGATGATTTTCTGAGCTTCAGATGTAAAAGGAAAGTGATATAAAGATTAAATGATATCAGATAAAGATAAAGAGTAAATGCTATCAGGCAGATTTCCTCATCCAGAAATTCTGCCTGGAAATTTCATTAACTGCCTTCGGCCGTTACAACTGGCAATACTGCCTTATTTGCCAATCAAATACACGGATGGCTGCATCATCATACTCGTGTAATATTCTACAAATGTGTTGTAAACCAGGATGCTACAAAATATAGGTTTTACTTACAAAATGTACCTCTTACCTCAAAGACAGCCACCCTCAGCACTGGCGTGTCCATAGCTTTGATAGAGTCAGTCACATCCGAACTGTGTAAACAACAAAAGCGGTCGCCTGTGAAGTCCTAGTGATGCAGAGCGAGGTTTCTGCAGCTATTAGATTGCCAACACACCATTAAAACGCCCTCCTGGATTTGCTCTGTAAAATTGCCAACTGCAAATTGCGAAAGGAACAAATCGACTATAAAACATTTACAAATTCAGGAATATATCATTCCTAGTCACATGGATTACCATAACTCAATATCACCAAGGAGGTCATTAGTAAAACCCCAAGGTACGCTTCCAACGTTAGATGTGCACATGAAATAAAGCCGCCAAGCACCGTGAATGGTGAGTTAAATGGTGTGCTACAGAGGGAAGGAACCCTACTTTAATACATCAACACCAATTGGTAGCGTCCCTGTTATATACACCGAAGATAAATTGATAAAAGAGAAATAAAAAAATACATGCTTTTATTGCCTACAAATAGGTTGATAAGCCGAGGAACACGTTGCAATTCTGCGAGTGCATCAACGTATAGGTTATCGTAAATACCACACAAATTGCATTTAAATCGGATGAATGTGTCACAAAAAGAATGGTTTGATTAAGCCGTGCTTATGGAAATTGCATGGCCTTGTATTCCTGCACATATTTACAAGGGCGTTATAAACAGGCAAGATCTCGAAGATATCTATATGTACATCAAACAAAACTGCTCGATATAATCACAACTAATTCCATGTTTAATTCAAGAATTAACATCTTAGATGTTCACACATTAGACATGAAAAATATCTAGATTTCAAACAACAGAACACCTTTGACGAGCTGAAATCATGGGTTAGCATTTCCTTGTTGGTGCCCCATACACTTCACTGTAAGAGAAATTGCCAATAACTCGCCGCCAGTTTTTTAAATCTCAAAGCCAGGAGCGCCATACGGTCGTTCCCAAGTTCATACATATGTACATAAACCGTAATGTTTATATATCATAAATTAAAAAACGTATTTGGAAACCAAAAATTACTTTTCACTGACTTGGTATATTACTTTACGCTCACTAAATCATTTCCCCGATAGATGCTTGTGTATTACAGGAAAGGAATTAAACAATAAATCTTGATCAAAGTTTGCAAGCTCAGCGCAGATTACATGCAATAAGTGAACACATTTAAGTATCAATCGCAGTTGATAATGTTACCAGGCCCTCCCACGTGTAACGTCAAATCGATTTACGATTTTGAAACCAGCTGGTTTGCAGGCAGATAATCTTTACAACTCCCTCGACAGATTTCCCACCCACCAATTATAAAGACATATTGACACGTTAGATTTGTTCGTTGATAACCATGGTTTTCTAAGGTTTTTATTTGTTCTTATTATTCAGCGAGTGCTTTGCTGTATCGTTGACAAAGAACCAGCCTTCAGCTAGAGGGAATGGCGATATTTTCCCGGAATAACAAAATCCGAGTTGGACGTGACACGATTTCTAAACCCTAACTTCTCGAGTGAATGAAAACCTGCTCGCGAGTGCTAGATGCGATATACCTGACCTGTTTTTGACTCAACATTAGCAAACAAAAGTAGATTAATGTAGAGCGAGCTACAAATAGGGAGGGGGGTGACCAAAACTGTTGGGATGAAATCACGAAATAATAAAGTGAATAGCATATATATGTGTCTCAATGCTTCTGGGATAATTTTATGACAGAATGCACCTTCACCATGGCTGAGAAGATTAGCTATCTAGTAAATATGCTTAATGGATTTGTTGAATGATTTTTATGCAAACTCATCCTATTTTGTTATTACGCAACAGGATTAGTTAAGCTTTACATTGTTTTCTAGTTTGTTTATCGGGATACCTGATATGAGCTTATGAGTTTTAAAACTAAACATTAACGTAACATTTTCCATAAAAGAAACATTCCTTACTCGATCTAAAAGAAAAATGACGGCCTAGATTAAGGGAACACATGGCGTTACCTTATCTATTTGACAAGAACATCTGCTAACTACATAATTTGTCTAGTAATTATAGACTCTGGGGTTACACGAGCAATTCTATCTCTACACCTAACAGGCCTAATTACGTAAACAGGGGGCCATGCTTATTGTCTGGAACAAGGCAGATAAACTATCACTAAGTAATTGGCCGCGCCGTTTTAGCTAAGAGACAATAAAGTTTTATTGGCAGGAAATTGTTATGGGCATCGTTTTGGGCATCGTATATGTATGCGCCACTGTAACCTTCTTTTAGCTTACTAGTATGGCAATCACACACGCATGATAACACCTACAAACCAACATGAGTGGCTAAGGTGCTTAAGTAGCAATAGACGTTCTAGCTTGTATTCGTATTATTATTACCACTAAATATGGAATATACAGAAGAATTAACAGTTACCGGGTATGTCTTTATTCTTCAACTATGATGTTTTTTTACAAAGAATTATTCTTTCTCTTCTCTTCTCTGTATTCGCCCCTCTCTCTAAATCCTGTTGATCCCAATACGACAAAAGGGTGGTGCAACTACAAAAGTGTATACACTGTTACAAATTACAACACAAATGTATTCTGCTATTACCTCCCTGAACAAAAAGACACATTTTGTTTAGGGTAATGGAAACATGCTCCAATCTCATTCCAATATCATCAAAGTAATGTTGCTCCTGCAAATAATGTGATTTGTCATGGCTTTCTGAAATTCGCTTTTTTGCAGCGCCGGTCAATTTTCCTCTAGCTCACGTTCTATATGTTGAGATTATGTAATCAGTCATTGAAATGTGCACATTGACATCGTGGCGCCTTCTCTGTCGCTTAAAAATGGCACCAATTTCACGGTAGGCAAGCTTCTCAGCCCATATTCCTGGCATTTTAGAAGCCCCTGACCTAGACGTAAATTGAACATTTGAAATGTTTGCGACGTCACCAAACGCAAGTTTTTAAGTCAATTTTACCTGAAAACAATGCATAGCATAACTGTAGAATTCAAATAAAAGCCCCATCAATGAATACTTGTATAAAGTCATACGTTTTGCATTCTGAATGCAATGAACAATGACCATCGTAGCTTTGGGAGGAAAGTTACTATAGAATGAAAGGTGATGGATACAATTGTATAAAATGGATATTTGTATTCATCAAAATTTAAATTATTGATAAAGGAATGTGACTAAAATAATTAAAAAAAACGGGCAGAAAAAATATGGACGCAATGCACCAGTACCTGGTGTGCTTACATATAAACGGGTGATTGAATGATTGAATGACTGCCTCAATTGGCCCAAATGTTTGCAAATCAAAACTTGATTGACAGCAATGACAAGATTGTTCTTTTTGGCAGTAACGGCACCGACTTAATACGTACTCTAAGACCTGCCTGATGGGTACATGTACTAAATGCACTTATGACCCAAGTCTCCGTTGAGATACATTGTACATTATTAATGAACAACCAATTGTAAGATTGTTACGAATGACATAGCCTTGTACCAAAGTACCATAAATAACAGTACCGCTATATTAACTGTTATTTTGTAGAGTGTAATTCATTAAACCATGGTTCATGAGCTGTGAAATGTGTTTCAAAAGGTCTTATCCTTCATGACCCTCAGCCAAAATGTGATAAAAGTAAAGTAAGGGTGAGAACGTGAGGTTACCTAGGAGCATCTCCCATCCATCCGTCCATTGCCCTATCTTATTTCTTCAGGGCATTGGGACGTTTCCGCGCCTCCAAATGAGTTTCCTTACAACTGGGTGGCCGTGCCTTATTTTTGATATCACTACAAGATACAAGCACCATTCGTTGTGAGATTCTACCTCCTGCATGGCAAGCAAACGTGCTCTGAAATTTATAATACGATTCTATTCATCAAATGAGCTTAAAAAAATTAAAATCATGCCAATCGACCAGTGGTGTGT